ACATTAATTAAAATTCTATTTGTAATGTAATTGTATAATTCTATTCAAGTTTACTTGACGAATTCTAATTGAAATTCTACTTGGAAGACCATTGGGGAATAGGAATTTGTGTTGAAATTGAAGAAGACTTTGGAATGAAGAAAAATATCATTAAAAGGAATTTAGGCCGGAGGTAGATGTTCATTGAACAGCGAAGCCTGCGCTATGGTGCCCAGTCAGCGGCGCTGCGACCCTGTTGCACTATTTTGTTGTTTTAGTCTCATCCCTTTTTAGCATTCTATTTCAATTACAACTCTATTATGAGGGTTTGGACGTCTTCTATATGTTCCTTATATATAATTGACTCTTCATTGTATTTCAGATGAAATTAGACAAATTATAAACATATAATCTTTGTATTCATTATCCATATTATAATAAAATCTCCATTTTCTGCAAAATTATGTTCTTGTGATCTTTATTTCATATTGTGACTTCTTTTCACAAGAAACTGGTATTAAAGCATTTCGGTTCTCATAACAAATCTTATAGTGGGTTTAATGTTTAATTAAGTTTTAAGACAAAAGCAGAAATATTTCTCCCATTGAAATTGCTTCTCAAAAAATATACAAAACACTTGCATGGATTACATATTAACAATTTCCAAATTCAGAAAGTTTCTCATTCAGCAAAGATTTTTACCACTCATAGCAGTACCAGATACTTCTGATAATAGATAAATATCATACACAATAATTTTACATTAAACCCTAAAAATAAAATATAATCACCAAAAAATTTTTTGTTAAAGATAATTAAAAGTCCTAATTAAAGTGTACATTAATTAAAATTCTATTTGTAATGTAATTGTATAATCCTATTCAAGTTTACTTGACGAATTCTAATTGAAATTCTACTTGGAAGACCATTGGGGAATAGGAATTTGTGTTGACATTGAAGAAGACTTTGGAATGAAGAAAAATATCATTAAAAGGAATTTAGGCCGGAGGTAGCTGTTCATTGAACAGCGAAGCCTGCGCTGTGGTGCCCAGTCAGCGACGTTGTTGCACTATTTTGTTGTTTTAGTCTCATCCCTTTTTAGCATTTTATTTCAACTACAACTCTATTATGAGGGTTTGGACGTCTTCTATATGTTCCTTATATATAATTGACTCTTCATTGTATTTTAGATGAAATTAGACAAATTATAAACACATAATCTTTGTATTCATTATCCATATTATAATAAAATCTCCATTTTCTGCAAAATTATGTTCTTGTGATCTTTATTTCATATTGTGTCTTCTTTTCACAAGAAACTGGTATTAAAGCATTTCGGTTCTCATAACAAATCTTATAGTGGGTTTAATGTTTAATTAAGTTTTAAGACAAAAGCAGAAATAATTCTCCCATTGAAATTGCTTCTCAAAAAATATACAAAAACACTTGCATGGATTACATATTTACAATTTCCAAATTCAGAAAGTTTCTCATTCAGCAAAGATTTTTACCCCTTATAGCAGTACCAGATACTTCTGATAATAGATAAATATCATACACAATAATTTTACATTAAACTCTAAAAATAAAATATAATCACCAAAATCTGATGAACTGAACAAGTTCATGGATTAGTTTCAGGCTCCTCAAATTTTGAGGCCCTAGACATTGCCATGTAGGGCCTGCATTCAACATTTCGTTTCCATTATGAGTTTCAAAACATTGTTAAATAGATTTACATAAACCACTTGAAAACAATTAACTTTTAAAGGTAAAAGATCACACATTATATATATTTCTTTTGAGCATAGATCAATTGTATTTGCACTATAATTCTCTTTTGTTCCATTATTATAATTGCACTAAAAGTCCATAATCTTTGTTTATCATTGCACTTGTATCTCTTTTTTTATCGCGTTCTTATCTTCAATCTCCCAATAACATATTTGATCCTTGACGATGGTTTCTCTCCAAATATTTTATTTTAGGACGCTTTCAAATGAAGACCAAATATTCTGTCTCTCTTTTTTTTTTTCTTATTTTTAAAAATATAGAAGGGCAAATTAATCTTTCTACACCCTCTAGTTTAATCAATTTTTTTGGACAGAAATCATCATTAAAGGCAAGATGTACTAATTAATAAAATGTTGAAATTAAGAATAAACGACAAGTTAAAAGTCATAAAGTCCAATTATTAACAAAGGCCATATACTTTCATTCAATTAGCCCCATTTCGTAGAGATTAAAATTTTAATTAAATCAAAATCGACAATTAATTTTAACCGCATATTTTCTAAGATCCACAACTTTTTAACTAAACATTCCATTAAATCTTATCAAAATCTATTAAAAATCTAATTTTAATCCTCACCAAACTGGAGCTTAATGTGTAACACAAGAAAATTATTGTATAATATAACCAGCCTTATGCCCCTCAAAAGAGAGGAAAATAAGGGAAGATAAACTAGCCTGAAGAAAACATATTCGCGTCACATGACTTTCGACAAAATAGTATCTCCTAAAAATATAAAGATATGAAATTATGTCATTAATTAATCATTTAATGATTTCTTTTACAAAAAGTTTCAATTTTTTTTAATTGCACGCATTTAAAAGCTACTCGACCCGTATCTGAACATTAAACCATGATTAGCAAGCAGTGGAATGGAAAATTTTCTGTAATCAAAGATGAAGAACATCTGCTCACTACATCATGCAGGAAGAGTAACATTCCTAAACACTGCTTTATGTACACTTCCCAATATGTCACGACTTGACACTATAAGACACAACACCTGCTCTGATTAATCTCGACCCAACACAAAAACAAAACATGGATTCAAGGAAAGAAAGAGAGTCCATTGTAGATGATCAAGTGTATCAGTTGTTAACTCCAGGGGAGGAACGCTACAGGGCTTGGAAGCAATGACGTCAAACCAACGGTTAGATCCATAGCATTAATGGTTCATTTATCCTTGGCTTGACTAACAGGGAAGTTTTCTTCAGGTTGCTTCTTCCACAAGTAATTAGAAGCTTCAATCCATCTAGGATGGACCAAAAATTTCTTCTCCTGCATTGCCCAACGAGACTTGTCAGTTCCTGCATCCATGGAAACTACATGTGTCACCTGTGGATCGAGTTCTGTTGAGCATGATGCTCCAAGCTTTTCTGCCATTTTCCAGATCTGCTGATCTTCGGCCTGGGAATTAGTTGGGAAAACACGGCTGAAGACAACCTTGCAACCCTTTAAAATTTCTTTGCGAACAGATTTTAGCACCTGTGGAATGATTAGCAGTTACCATTAAATGCAAGTGTAATTCTATGCATAAAAGCAGATCACCTCAACTAATGAATTCAAGTTTCTTAGTTTGAAGAAATTAACCCTCTACTGAGCATCAATCAATATATTGGATTAACCACGCGAATCCCCTTCCATATGTCAAAGGTTCAATCTAACGCCCAGATGAAAATGTTCTTTAGATTCAGTTAACTAGTATAGTAACTTTTTCAAGAAATGATTAAACTAGCATGCATCTAGATATTTAACAACAAATATGATGGAATCGTCTTGAGACTATCAAAGATTGCTTTGTACAGATTTCAAGCAGAGTCTTTAACTTCAGAGAACTGATTAAAACGAATGGATAACAATTGGTAACAACTGAAAATTTAAGACTAAACCTTGTCTTTTATCTCTTCATTTTGGGCTTTTCACAACTGAAACGGGTGTTAGTAACAGAGTGCAAGCATCTCATTTCATTCAGCTTTCAGTAATTCACCCTCATCCCCCACACCCTAAAGATGAAGGGGTAAAAACTCATGCCCAATGGTCTAAGAAACTAAGCAAAGAAAAGCAAAGCAAGGAAAAATATCTGCGCTGGTAGAATAACAGACATGCCATACAAAACAATGGGTAGAAAGGAAAAAATAAATTTACACACCGAAAATTTACCTGCCTCACATCTTGGTGCTCTAGATCGTCCACGTGTTCCTGCAAGAGAAGATTCTTATTAGTATAAATGAAGGTAAAGAAAATTCAAATGCAACTGAATTGTTTTTTTTCCTCATACCGGGTCAAAGAACAAACTGTGGATCTGCTGCAGAATTTTAAGAACGGTAGCAAGTGCTCCCTCTGTCTCACTTTCATCACTTCTTAGTTCGGAAAGCGATGTGCAATTGAAGCCAAATTGTCGACAACTTGAAGCAAAGAAATGGTATCTTTCCATTAATATTAGATTCTCCTTATGCTTTCCCCATACCTAAAAAACAAAAGACGGCCATCTGATCTGACTCTTCCCACCGAATATACTGTCAATGATTCAAATTTTAAAAAAAAATATATATACAAATGGCACAATTCTGAATTTTTTAATGAATGTAACATAATGTTTCTTCACTAATAACTAACAAAAGTTAATTGTTTAAGGTGTCAAAACATAAATTAACGCACAAGTTTTTGCATGCTGGCACGGTCAGCAAGCTGATTCCCCCCCAAATAAAGCGCGCACACAGAAAAAATTTACTTAATTAACTTCCTTTATTTATTATCATGAAAAAACATGAATTAATATCACAATACCAAAAAGCTTTATTGATTAAATAGGAACATCACAGTGTGGATGGTGCATTACCATCTTTGGAGACTGTTCTCAATTGTCTTATGGTGTTTTATTCAGTGCGTCTAATCCTCTCGAGTAGAAAAAATCAAATGGCTTGTTACAAATAGTACAACACCACCAAAAGTAGAAAGTGACTGATTTGGTACTTTGAAGGAAAATGTTTGGTATGTTGAAGTGTACCTTATTAAAGAAGAGATTTATGTTGATTATTTTTCTTTTAATGTGTCCACTAGTATTCAAGCAACATGACTTAAGTGCATGTTTTGTACAGTCCTATTCAAGCAAAATGTCTTGTGTGCGCGCGCAACAAAATCACTAGGAATCTAGGATTGATTAAGTTATTATCTACACCCAGTCTAGAGGTGGCAATCGAGCCGAGCGGCTCGTGGGCTCGTAAAAAATGTGAGAAAAAAACAAATAAAAAATTTAAAGATTTAAAAAAAAAAAACACGAGCTCGGCTCTTGAGCTCACGAGCTCGACCCTTGAGCAGCTCGGCTCGTCACTTTGACGAGCCGAGCTCATGGGTAGATGGGCCAAGCCGATTGCCACCACTAATCCAGTCACCCACTCACCCATCTGTACGCATTAATTCTGAGTCATCAATTATCAAGTGTAATGGAAAGTGATTTTCAGAAAGTTTTGCCAAGCTTATTACAATTAAAACTCAAAACTTGAAGTTACCAATCATATATTTGAAACTTGGTCAGAAATTCAGCTTCCACCAAAGCTCAAATATCTCTGTGTACATTTACTGAACTCCGTTCATTTTTCACTGCTGTCTTTGGGAAAAAAAGAAAACCATAACCCCTCTGGGGTCAAGTAATCCACTATGTGAGTGTGCTAGCATATCTAACCTTCATTACATAACTTGCACCAAAAAATACCCTCAGATTTGCACAAATGCTTTTCAAAAATGTCCCTCAGGTTAGCACAAATCCTTTATAACAACCCCCCACTCCCGGTAAAAAGAAGAGAAAGGATTCAACACTTTGCGAACAACTGCAGCAAACTAAGGCATCTCCATTAGACCATTATGAAAATGTGAAGCAAACCCATACTAGCATGACAAGGCACGTGATAATTGCAATGTTTTTCGATTCCTTCCAGACCTTTACTAAGGTGATCTCATTATCTACCACATCCATTTCAAAGTACAAAGTAGAAGACAATGGTGTTCAATTTCCTTCAATCTTGAAATCCCAGCCTACATTTTAAGTCTTGAACTCTTTTGTTTTATTTTTGCTAAAAATAAATATTCTGACACATATAAAAAAAAGGACTACACACAAAAAATCCTCAATAAATGCACATCTAAGAATGAGATTCAACTGGTTTCAACATGATAATTTTAATCAAATACTCAAAATCAAAAGGCAGTGATAAAGAATTTGGTAATCATTCTATCATGCAATAAAGATTTCGGTTGTCATAAATTACAAAGTATGAAGTGATTACCGCTTCTGTATCGTCAAGGATCAAGACAGCACTTTCTTGTCCCAAAACAACATCTAGGCCCTTTTGATATTTCTGCGTACAATCCCCTTGCGCTATAACTCTGGAATGGAAGTAAACGCCCCCAGGGTCCAGCAGCTTTGCCATTTCCAATGCATAGGCACGTTCTCCCATTGTGTATATGTACATCTCAAACAAATTACTAGCTTCCTTCAGAAAGGTGTTTACAAAAGGCCTCAATTTTGTCATCATGTGAATCGATTCCAGTCTAAACAGGCTGCTCTTTAGTGTATCTGGTCAATACAATGTAAATTAACAAATGAACAATAGAAATGAAAACAATTTTCACCATAAGAAACTGAAGAAACTAAAGCAATAATCAAATCCAAAACAAAAATGTTCATTACACTTCAATTTAGCACAACGTCAAGTAAAAGCAAGTAACTAGTTCAAGGAGAGGTTGTCTAACCTTCAGGCTGTCCAGTGAAAGAATTTTGGTACATCTGCTTAACAAAGTTTCAAATTGAAAGATAACGAAAAAATAGCAAAATGCAGTACACAAACTGAAACTGGAATGTTAAAGATAATGGAGCACTTGTGACTCGAGCATTGTTTTAAAAAGATGACACCATTGACGCCTTAAGGCATGCCTTATTGAGGCATTCACTTATGCCTTGAGTGCAATTTGTTAAGGCTTACTCCTCGATTCAATGACACATGGTTAAACTTGTTTGGTTTTCTTGCATTTTCTGGACTGTTTATTACTGGGATCAGCTTTTAGAACGATTCTTTATAGCGTGGAGTGTTTAACAGGTTTCTATGTTTTCTTTTTCTCAACCTTTAAACTGAAGGGGGAGGAGAAGACACCATTGCAATTTGAATATAATGGCAAATAATGAGAAGGAAAGGATAGTAATGAGCCGGGTGACAAGGGAATCAAATATGTTGAAAATTCTCCTAAACGTCCAATTAGTAGCAATGATATCAGAGACTTCTAGGCATTTTCTACTTTTAATAGCAAATTACAATCTTGTTACATAATTACTAACTTTTTGTTGTTCTCTTGAGGCTTACGGCAAAGATAAAACACCTTGATTCCCAAATGAGTCTTCTTAACATTGCCCTTGAGCATAGTACATCATTGAATCACGGAAAGATGCCAATACAGAATGCCTTTTGCAATTTATAATGTCACATATTGGACACTTGGCAAACAATATCAGGAATAAATCATAGACATATGGAACATCTATAGCATTCAAATATTTTTTTGTGAAACGTTGTTTTAAATATATGTGTGAGCGCGCGCGCGCTCTCTCAAGGGAATATTGACCATTTATTAGTGAACCAAATGACAAGGGAAATTAACTTATCCTAACTAAAATTTCTTTTAGTAAAACTTATCTGAAACCATTAACAACTGCAAAATGTAGCACCTAATTTATCCAATCTAGATACACATACACAAATACAACATTTAATGCTACAAATCTTTTGTTTTTCACAACAGTCGCATGATATCATCATTCATTTCAACCAGCAGTCTTTACTCTTTAGTTTAAAAAATCAAATTTGCATAATTTATTCAAAAAATTCATTTTGTAATAGTGTTACGATGGAGAATGTATGGTTAAAAAATAAGGAAAAGTTTTGGTTTTGCGTGTAATATTATTTTATTGAAGAATGTGTGGTTGAAATGTGATCAAATTAGTGTTCGATAATACATTTTGATGGAAAAAATGGGCTCAAACAAGGGCTTATGTTCTGTGCAAATGTGTTGATGTAAGTGCAACATGTATTGTTGTGCATGTACATGTACATTTATAATATAATAATAAACATGTTCTTATACTTGCAAAATGTCTACATATTTTAGCTACTATTACCATATATTTATAACTTACCAAATTAAACTGCACATGAGAGTATAAGTATTTAGTTAGTGTAAACCGGACACATGAATAACATGGTGCTAGCTGCATAATAGTTCTCTAATTTGTTAAATACTTCACTTGCAATATTTACTAAGACCTCGTTTTGATATAGACTAAAATCAAATTAATACACCGAAATAAAGTCAACAATTAATTTTAACTACACATCTCATGGACCCACAACTTTTTAACCATATATTTTATTAATTTTCACCAAAATTTACAAAAAATAAGATTTTAATATACACCAAACAGGGACTAACTGAGATTCTTGGATGGAATGTTTCAGTAGAGTTTGATACAAGCTTCTTTTTCGTATACCTCTTTTACATGCTCCTTTCCCCCCTTTCCCTCTTTCTTAATGAAATTTTGAATTTATCAATATGTAATGAAGTATGGAGCCAATCACGCTAAAAATAAAAAATAAAATTAATTGAACAACATATCCAAAACAAAAAGGAAATAAATGCAAACTTTTAAAGAAAGAAAAATACTACCGAAGAAGGACCATATAAAATGCTAATGGGAACATACCGGGCAGTGTGTCTCTTTGGTCCTCTAAGTATCTTTCTTCAATAGTTATATCTGCAAGCCGGGTGGAATTAAGCAGAGTATGATCTAGATCAAGAACCAAGTATAGCTTCCTATGGCGTAGAAAGTTCTTGAAGTCTTTGTCACGTAATCTAGCAATCTCATCATTAGCAAGCCTCAAATTCTGCATATACAAGAGAACTACATACATCAATGTGCAGTATTTCCAAACATACAAACTTCAAATATTTTTATGTTTGGGTGACAAGGAGAGGTATATTCCATTATTGAGTATTGCCTGTGCGCTATACTTTTACGCATTTTCTTCTTTTTTATTCTGTGCTATTGAGGAACTGGACATTGGATTCCTTCCTTCCCTTTCTTTCTTCCTATTATTTTTTATTTAAGGTTGGAGATTGACAGGGTGTTGAGATTGAGCATTTCTATCCTAAGTATTATTATTCACATTACTATTGGCTGTGAAGAACTCCAGTTCATGAAATAAGAAAAATGCAATCTCGGAGATCATAACTGAATTCAAGTATATGATTCCTTTAAATAATATTTCAATGGGGATGAATCGGATGCCACTACTAAATATTTTATGATACGAAATAAACTTACTACGGGGGTGTCCCCAGCTTAGCGCATGTTTAGCACCTATTTATAATGGTCCAACCACTTTTCATCCACACATTCTTGGAACACATAAGTACTACTCATTTCTACCTATTTATAATTTAAACTGATTATAAACAAATACAAACATGCAATTAGGTTTTAAAGGATTTCTTAATATTTTTTAATTCTCATGGATTTTAATAGGATTCCACAGTCAATAAGATTTTTAACAAAATTCTATATTATAGGTTTTATGGATTCTCGTGAATTTCATGGATTTGAAATATAAACCAACTTTGCTTGTACATTTTAACTTATTAAGTTATTTAGCATGCATGTGTGCAAATATATTGGAAAGATGGCATTTAATTTTTAATTATTTTTTTGGACTTTGATGTCCAAACCATTGTTTTTAAACCCAACTCAGGTAGTGACCCAATCCAAGCACTAGGCTATTGGGTCACTGGTTCAACCAATTGGTCACTAGTCAAACGGGTTGATCACTGCGTTCTTAGAGAGTAATGTAAAAATATTCAAAATGTCAAATTTCTTTTCAGACAACGTTAAATTTATAAGTTGTTTTCATAATTTATTCTTTTGTGTCTAAGCATTACGCATACTGTAAACAGTTTTGTTACAATAATATTTTTATTTTTATTTTATAATTTTGTATCATATGAAGTTCATATTATCCACATTTTACTTGCGTACCAACACTATTGAGTTTATATTTATATGTACATTTTATACAGCATTATATACAATTTTCATAGAGGTAGACTGAAAATAATTTGAAATTAAAGAAAAACTAATAATAAAATAGATGATTTCCTTGTATATTAATCACAACAATACTAAATATAATAAATTTTAAGAAAATAACCTTGTGTATGTACCCAAATGCCACACGGCTCACACCAGACTCATCATCAATTATCTGTCCACAACGTATGCACATCCCTCCAATGATACCAGGATGTGTACACACATCCTTTTTTGGAGATGATCCTGCACCAGAACAATGTAACAGAAAGAACATTTTACAGGAATGCTAAACTTCCAAGTTGGAAATTGGAACCTAAGTGAACAAGTTAATAAATGTAGTTTAAGTCCTAAACAGTTCAAAACTCTTTTGACGAAAGGTTATGAGAGAGAAAAAAGACTTATCCTCAATGGAAAATGATTCTCAGTGCGAGTATAAGGAGATGACACTAAAAGGAGGTACTGAAGTTGGTGATAGAGAAAGAAGCACACGCAAGGAATTATTCTCATGTTATAGTTATTCATGTTTGTTGAACTTATTAAAGCATATGCGCAAGGAAGAATGGAAAATCCACTAATTCTAAGTTCTGATGCACAGGAACAAAAACTTGGAAAAATAAAAATAAAATTATTTCCATATTTCAGTTCATTAATGTATGTCTTTTTTGTTTAGTTATGGCCTTACTTCTCAATGTATGTCTTTTTTGTTCAGTTATGGCCTTACTTTCTCAAATATGTTATGCCCTCATTATTTTAGATGAATGGAGTGAGTCAATTACGAGGTAAGTAACTCTACAAGAAAATATTTTTGAACCGCTAAAGCATTCAGTGCAAGGTCTTTGGAGTATTACAACACTTAAGCCTCAAGTTCAATTATGATGGACCAAGCAAGTTCAAGATTACAATTGGCTCCTACAAAGGCACATGTTACACAAGCCATTAGCTGTACAACTTATCACAATCTTTGTTTTCCTAGTTATCATAATCTCTGTTTTCCTAGTGGTTCTCACCGTGTCAGGCCTCATATCAGCAGTCAAGTATTGCCTCATGTAAAGTGTAGAAAGCATGATCAGTAGCTACAGCATTTGGGCCACAATAAGTACTTAAAAATAAAAAATTGTTAAGAGTTAGCACACATACTGAACTCCAGTTAAAAAGGAAAAGAATGAATTAAGAACACAAAAGAATGACAGTAGACTGAAGTTGAAGCACAATTTGTGCACTTCCTTCTGGGTAAGACGTGGGTTCCAATTGAATAGGAATATGAAGAAGACAGAGTACTGACATAAGATGAACTCAGGGCAAGAAAGACCTATATGTTTCCATGGTGAACCAGAACCACCATGTCCATGGATGCACCAGGTATTTAGTGTCTATAAACACCATTTCATTTTTCTCCTTTTCTTTTTTCTGTTCCTGGAAAGCTATTGCTCATCAACTCTTCCAAGCAATTTTAGTTCAAGTGAGAATAGAATACTGGACTTCTATAAAGACTTGCATAACTAGAAATCACTGATGCATCTGATATAGAAAGTATCACCTAAAGTTTGCGGTGCCTCTCCTTGACATTTGGGACTCTGCGAATCTACCATTTCTTCGTATACCTCCACCTTGCGCCTCTTAATTCTACAACGAGAATAGGTAACAAGATAAAACATAAATACCAAAAGGTGAAAATATAAAGAAAGTGATGTTATTCATCCAAAAAATGCAAGTAAATATCAACTATCAGAAATATACCATTATTTTCACCAGCATAAAAAATAAACATGCAACCGAAAGTATTAACAGAAGTGGGCTCATTCTGTGTTCTTGTAACTAGATAGTCTTGCATACAACAATTTATCTATAGTAGGAGATAAGGACACGTGATGTGATTGTAGCAAAATAAGCTTAAATAGTTTCATGAATAATTCAATTTTAACTAGAAACTGAATTGAGAATTTAACGTCCATAAAAAAAAAATTAATATGAAATTAGAAAGGATAATTCAGGGGATCAATATGATGGTCATTTTCAGTTGTATCTAACTAATCTCTTTGGCAGTTTCTAACACTTCTCTGACAACTTGAGGAACCTTTTTTCTGAGGTTTCTGATATATAGTGAACCTTAATTATCAATGATAATTGATAAGAACACCCAAACACATAAAAGGATAGAAAGAAGGTTATCTGATTAAAAGATGAATATTACCCTTAGACACTCTATCTGGAATAAGAATTGGCACTTTAGGCATTCTATTAGTAATATTAAAATATTATTATCCACAACAAATTTTGCTGCTCATGATGTAATGCTGAAGGTGTTACAGGAATGGATATCTATTACCAAATTAAACTAGCAGTATGTTGTAGCTCAGTTTCGTGAAACATTGATTTTTACAAGTATATATACAACAAAAATTTTGATCTTTTTGACATATTTAATATAATGCCTCCGGTAACATCACAAGAAGGTTAACTATTATATCAAAGATTAGATCTTTTAAGCATATCTATTTGACGAATCTAGCATAGATCTTCGGAACTAGAGAATTACTTGGTGTACTTTTCTCGAATGTTGATCTAGTTGTCCCTACATTTTAACTTCAAAACTTAAGAGAATTGTATAGTATCAGGGTTGCACCACCCATCCAAACCTCAAAGGCCATCAACAATATGTTATTTTTCATCAAATAAATGGTTTACATATGTACGAAGAACTTGAGTTCAGCAGCCGATTGATTTCCTTATAATGTACTTTGACCAATTTAATAGTAATAGTAGAGTACCTCTGATGATCTGAATTGTTGTCATCGTCGTTGTCACCAACAATCTCCTCTTCTTTCTCTTCTACCTCTTCAGGATCAGGTGATGCATCAGAAGCAGAATCCAATTCTGCATCTAAAATCGCTGCAAAGTCATCACTGCTTGACGAATGTACTGGAGAATCCGCTGTTAAACTCATCTAACAGTTGCACCCAGAAAAATAAATAATGTGAGATAATTTGAATGTCAAGCAATGAACAAAACAGCTCCGTCTAATACAGAAACTAATTCTTAGGACTCAAAACAACCTAAATCAATCACCTTTCACTCTTTCAGCTTATTAAAATACCTATAATCAAAACAAATTTGCTGAACATTGTAAAAGTGCGTTACTTTTCATTTTTATTTGTTGAACCAAACTTCGATTGGAGTTTAATTTTCGCAGGAAAATCAGAAACCCTAGTTCCTCAATACACAACCATAATTAACAGTAAAATAAACACGTGTTGAGCAAAGTGTATACTTAATCAAAAGTTAGAGGCGAAGGTGGAGGTGGAGGTGGTGAAGATTGAGGAGATTACCGGAGCTACGCTGCCTGGCGGACGGAGCCGGCCCTAAGAATATTGAGGCCCTAGGCAATTAATTATACGAGGCCCTTAAACATATTGTTTTTGCAAGCGTAACAATACTCAAATATTTAAATAAAATATGTTATTATTTAAAAGAAAACTTTGTACAATTCAAAATATAGTAGCAAATCAAAATATTTCTCAGAACCTCAGAAATTTAGCATATCTCACATCTTGAGATGTAAAATAAATAATGAAACTACTCAAAATGAAGGCTAAGCTTTTCGAAATCAACTAGAAATCCTTAAACATCATCATATTTTTGTTTAGGAGTCAATTGTGGAACTTATAATGAAAGTTTGAAGACCAAAATTGCTATGTTTATCAATCAATAGTACAATTTTTTTTATTTATCTTTTCCCCCTAAAAACTCTCACTCGTTATTAGGTGAAAGAAATTGCCTACGTTATTTCCTTACCTTTCTCCACACAACTGGTGAGTTTTACTCTCCGTTTCCTTGGTAAAATTCCATTTTCTTTTCATTTCCACCCTTTTTTATGTAAGTGATTATCATAGTGAATCAGTCCAATTAAAATGTCTATATTCTGTTACCTCTCCCCCCCTTGTTTTAAATTTTAAGCCCCTTAAAATGCCACATCCGGTGATAATACATCAATTGTTAAAATCAGTTTTCTTGACCACACAGTTTGAATGAACCAGGTTTTCCTTGTATTCTTCCTACCCTTTATAACATGACCAAACAAAAGGACATAAATCATGTTTCACCAATCTCATATTCATGTAAAATAGCGTTAATCATTTCAAGCAGTAAAAGAAAAATCTTTAATTACAAGTCAAAGTCTAATTATTTAAGCATCACCCAAAAGGCTTAAAAAAACCTTAAAACTAGATATAGTTTTCAATCTTTCCAATAGCAAATAATTCCTTCAAGAATTCATAGATAGATTTGCCCAAATGTGTAGTTTTCTTCAAATTTCTAAGTAGAACAAGAAAGCCCAGTGCACAAGTTATTTCATTTCATCAGAGAAAAGGGTATTCCAATGAGGTTTCACAGAAACAATATTGAACAAACGAGAAACCCAACAAGCGCCCATAATATTCAACAAATCAAGAAACTCGTGCCAATGCAAAAGGGAGAAACAAAAACCTGAATAATGAGCCAAAGGTTTACTGTTAAATTGCACACATACGCAAATGTCGTAATCAGCCAAAAGTATTTTTGCATCTACTGAAATCGGATGAACAATCCATTATGCGGAAGACAAAATTACAAAAGAAAGCAGGATCTTGTATGGGATTGAAGGATCGTCCGGCTAATTTCTTACGTCTTCTCTTCCAACCTAGGTAAAGAGGGCTTATTTTGAGCAATTGGGTGAATTTTGGACTGGTGTTTGGGGTGAGTTTTGGGTTGAATTTTTTTCTAAGAGGCGGTTGCCTAGTTCGCCTTGGGCCGGGGCCAGCCCTGCTGGCGGAGATTAATGTTTTAGGAGAAAATATGTTGGAACAATTAAAAAGTCATTATTTATTGTAATAAAATAAATCTGAAAAAATTTTAAAAAATAATTACAATATTCAAACACTCGTTTGACTGACTGGACTTCTGATTTTGTGCATGGTTGTCTCCCCGTTCTTTCAAGAATATTTATATATTTATTTTCAATCATAAAATAAAATATATTATACGTAAATTTAAATTTTTTTTTTATTTTTTAATCATATATTCTCTAAAAATTTAGCCCATGTTTGTCTACCATTTTCCAAAAAATTATTTTCTATAATAAACAATCTCCACCACATATTCACTGAATAAAATATTTTACACATAAATCAATAAAGTTACTTTAAATTTCAATCACACATTCTCCAAAAAATACTATTCATTACATCATTTTCCTCCCCATAATGGTAGACAAACAAGCTGTTAATATTCAAAAAAATTTAAAAGAAAAAAAAAATGCCCACCATACCAGGGTTTTACCCAAACAAATTACTTTTAAAAAATTATTCAAATATGTTGAAAATAAATTTCTTAATTTCAAAAGCAATTTTTTTTTAACTTTTCGAGAGTCCTATAAAAGAGGGCATTTTATAATTTTTTTTACAAAAATGAATCGACTCTTTTGAGTAAACACGGTATGAAGCATGTCTGAGAGTTTTGAGTATTGTTCATTTAAATTATAACTAGATAGAAATCATTTAAATAGAGCAGTATACAATTTGATAAAAAAATATTTATAAGTTAAACACTTACCAAACAACGCATGTTTAGCAAGTGTTTATGGTATGTTGCAGAAGGGGAATTTAAGTTATAAAATTGAAGAATGTTACGGTTTGTCTGATGCAGTTTTTTTAGAAAGATTTTTCTGAAAATTGATTTTTTTTAGAAAATGTAAATGTTTTAAAAGAAAAAAAACATAAATAAATAAATTGGATATACGTATAAAATTATTTTGTTAAAAGAATGCATGATTAAAAATTAATTGAGTGAAAAATGAATTTTGAATAATCCATGCCAAACAGGACTTACCTGGAAAGATAAAAATAAAAATAATATAAAGTAAATAATAATACAGGATTCTTGGTTTAGGGTTTTAAAGCTCTGTTTCCTCCTTGGCTCTTTCTCCCTCAATAGCCGCAAAAGCTCTCTTCTCCTCTATCTGTCTCACACACCAGCGGGTTCAGTGTGTGAAAGCCTGCAGAACGCATATACATGCACACATATATGCATATATACACTTAGATAGCTGGAAAGAAAAGAGGGTTCTTGATTCTATTCTGATTCAACATCTGGTGTATGGATTCAGTGAGTTTGAACAGGGTGGCGGAGTCCGAACCGGATCCGAATAAGGACGGGTCGGTGATTTTTCATCGGAGAATTGAGTTTCATTTGGCGAGGAAGTCATTTAATGGATTCAGTAATAGCAACAGTAATGGATTTAAGCTAGTGACTTTGAACCCGGGCTCTTCAAATGGATTTAGTTCGGAACCCCAGATTGCGTCATTGTCGGGCAAGAAGGCAGGCCGTTCGGAGCTTCTGGATAATGGTTTAGATTCGGAGCTAAGCTTTGGAATCACTTTCAGGAGAATTGTGAGTTCTTGTTATCAGTGTTTAAATTTGTCCTTTTTCTTATATACACGAATACAATTAATGCGTGTGTGTATATGAATTCTTGCCAATCTGTTTGTTGTTAGATTTTTTTCTTTTATTTACGGTCTTTCTAGCTGAATTCCTGCTTAAAAAAAAAAAAAAAATTGGTAACGGGTTTTGGAACTTTGGTTATGCTTATCTGTAGCAGTATATTCTTGAGTGAAAGTGAGTATATTTGTGTCAGTTTTCTTACTGTTGATGATTTTTTATATTTTCCTTTTCCTTTTCCTTTTTTTGTGCTTTATGTTTGTTATGTGCACAGTCACTTGGGCTTAAACTTTATTGTTCTTATGGTAGGGGAATAATAATTCCTCAATGTCTTCTGAACTTTGTCCTGTTTTTTATCTAATCTGGGATGCCCTTTTTTCAGATTTAGTTTGAGGAACCATTTATTTTAATTTCATTTTTTTCCTATTCATGTTTGCTTCATCTATTCTAGCTTTGTAATAATTCTATTGTGGTGAAATTTCACTTGTTCAACTTTCTCAATATTTGTCTGTACTTAATCAAAGGGAAATTGTGGTCCTATTTTATTTTCTCAAATTTCCAGGATGGCATGTGGAATTTATAATTGACTCGAGTCCGTTTCTTTTCATCATTCTTCTAGCCTAAAAGATGAAAGTCAAGTTTTAATAGAACTCACTTAAATAAGATTTGAGACAACATCTTTGTATGAAGAAAGACAAGTTTTATAACATCTTTATGGTAACTAGTCGGGACACTAAAATAATTGGATTGAACTGAAATTCTTGCATGCTGATCTCTCTGATTGGTACAAGGCTTCCTTCCATTTATGTTGAGTTCAATTGGATTTGCCCCGTCACTGGATGTAATTGTTTTTTTAGTTTATTTATCTTGTCATTAATCATGATCTAGTTTTGACTTGTGGGTTTGAAGAAAAATTTGACGCACTTACGAAAATAGTTTGGAGTTGAAATCCACCAAACAAATTCTGGGTTTTTTGGGATATATGTGGAAAAGTGAAGGTTTTGCTGCCTGCATTTCCATATAACAAGAACTCTTCAAGTTGGTTCCCCTCTATAGACTACTTTCTTTTTGCATTGTACCTATGTCATTTTACTTGGACATTTGAAAATAATCTTTGAATTTGATTGGTTATCACTTTCAATCCAGCATTTGGGCCTTATGCTCTCTAATAAAGAAAATGCTTGGAGATTATTAATTTGATTGTGAAGAATGAGGCAGCATAATTATGAGACTCAAATGTGTAACTACAGGGTGCTGGCTTGCGTAATCTTGGAAATACTTGTTTCCTCAATTCGGTATTACAATGTCTGACCTATACTGAGCCATTAGCAGCATATCTACAAAGCGGGAAGCACCAAACTTCTTGTGAGTCTCTCTCTCTCTTTCTCTCTCTCTCTCTCTCTCTCTCTCCATGCTCAAGATGACCCCACTTACCAATTAATTGCTAAATCCTTTCCTTTTCAACCTTATAAACAAAACTCACATTTATGAATTTATTTTATAAACAAAACTCAAAGAAAGTAAAGTAGGGAACATTTAGTGGTCATGTATAGTTAAGCTGCGAAATATTGATACTTGTAGCATGCTTATTGAGTCGTACTTTGGATTCTTATTTTTAAGCTTTGTAGATGCATGTTTTCAAGTGTTGAATCCATATGTGCTAAAATATATGCTCATTATCGTATTGTGAAACTATGCCCCTTTTTGATGGTGATTGAAATCTAGATCTTAATATAAATCAAAGTCTTAACAATTAATTTTAACTGGATATTTCATAGGAACTGCAACTTTTCAACTACACATTTCATCAACTTTTATCAAAATCTACCAAAATCTTGTTTATAATCCCCACCAAACAAACAGGGACTATCTCTTATTCCGATTTTTTAATTTTATGCAGGTCATACTGCTGGATTTTGTGCTCTTTGTGCCATCCAGAAACACGTAAGTCGTGCTCTACAATCAACCGGGAGAATACTGGAGCCTAAAGATCTTGTATCAAACTTGCGTTGTATCCTAATTATGAGTAACAGGGTTTTCCTTTTTTCCATCTCCTGCTTCTAAAATCTGCTGAAAGTGCTCTCAATATTTTTGACCGCCCATGGTTGATTAATCCTTTCACTTCATAATTCAAAGCTTGTTGTTTTACTGACCTGGGAGTTTCTTTAGAAGGATCGTACAAGTACCTGACTAGAGGTGTTTCACTCATGCCCGATCTACTTCTGGCACCAATATGTAAGAGTCAAAAGTTTTCTGGAATGCTGTTAACTGGTAACTGATGAGAGGTGTTTTGGTGATTTGCTAGTCACTTTTCCTGATTTCTCATTCTTGTTTGATATAAATTAATTCAAGTTTATCGGTAATTACGTGCTGTTTAATTGAAAATTTTTGTTTTAAGTCACAATCGAGACACTCTTCAGTTCATGCAATCATTTTTTTCACCCCTTTTCTCTATTATCCTTATCAAGTTATCAACTGATTTTGGATGATGCAAATAATTATGTTTTTAACAATTGGAAAATATATAATTTCCATTTCCAAAATTTGCAAGAAATCAAGTTTTTTATCTTTATTGCATTGTGCAAGTATGTTATTTGCTGACTCATGGAGGGTGGCACATTTGTCTTTCTTTTGAAAGAATCCTTGACATCACATTTAGGCATATCACGGAACTTCCGAAATTCCAGACAAGAGGACGCTCATGAATACATGGTGAATTTGCTGGAATCTATGCACAAATGCTGCCTTCCTTCAGGAGTGCCAAGTGAATCACCTAATGCTTATGAGAAAAGTTTAGTCCACAAGATATTTGGTGGTTGCTTACGTAGTCAGGTAATTTTCTGCATGTTTTCTAGAACTGGAGAAATATTTAGCGTTCGATATAATTAGAAATATGAAATTGGGATTAATTGAAAGAAAATGGGTATTTGGATTCTTTATATGCTTCACACACAAAAATGTTTGCTTCATTGCTGATGATACTTGTTGCATTTTTCAGGTTAAATGCATGCAGTGTTCTTATTGTTCTGACAAATTTGATCCATTCATAGATCTTAGTCTAGAAATTATGAAGGCAGACTCATTATGCAAGGCACTTGCTCATTTCACGGCTAAAGAGCAGTTAGATGGAGGTGCAAGGCAGTACCAGTGTGAGAAATGCAAAGAGAAAGTTAAGGCTCTCAAGCAGCTAACTATTTATAAGGCACCCAATGTCCTCGCGATTCATCTGAAGCGGTTTGGTTCACATGTACAAGGGCAAAAAATTGACAAGAAAATTGAGTTTGGTCCTGCATTGGACTTGAAGCCATTTGTAACTGGTCCCTATGTAAGTTTCTATGTGGTTAGTTATTAGAGATTTCAATTTTTTAGCAATTCTTATTTGATTCATGTGACTATAGTAAGAGTTTCTTCAGACGTCTACTTGGGATATTTGATTTAATATTCAGAGTTCATTGATTGAAAATTTTGGAGAAATGGTGATGATGAATAAAATTTGCCACCATCCATAACTTGGGATTTGAAAATAATAATTAAAATGGAAGAATGGAATATGGGCTGGAAACTTGTACACTGTTATCTCTCCAGAACAGTAGCACTGTGCTTTTTTTGGCCAATCTCTGAAATTTAACTTGTTTACATGTTTTTGGTGTGATCTCATTGCTTGAGCATCCATTTTTGAGAATAAAATTATCAACATGCATTCAAGATTTTCATGAACCATAGGTGATAGGATTACACCGAGGTGGATTAAATGGAGAAGTACATCAGAGATTTAGAGATTTTCATGTGGTTGGAAGATTCCTATAGGTATGGTAAAAAGGCAAGTTATACAGAACAACGCTGTTTGAAAATGCTCCCGAAGTTTATGTCTTGAGGTGTGCTTTACGTCAAGTCTTCATTCTAAAACAGCTCTCTTTAATAAGAGTAAACCAATCCCAATAGAAATAGTTATAAGTGGCTAAGATAGACCAAAATTAACACAATCTGATATAGTTGCTAAATACAAACCCGTGAGGGGGTCCAGAATTTGAGGAACTGAAAGCTAAGGAACTGGGCTAGCTTGGTGGACCTTTCTTATTGCATTCCTCAATGATGATTTCAATGGATTTTTGTTTAAATGAAGCTATGGATTGGATGGAGAGGATTCATGTAAATTACAAATTTACTGGATTTAAGGTCTAGTTGTTGAATGATGACGCGCTGAAAAGCTATAAATATGATTTGTACCAACACTTTGGAACTTTGGGTTAAAATTTGGATTTGCATAGGCTGTTTCAGTCAATGTTCTACCATAGCTTTCAGCTGAAATAGAAATTGATTTTCTTTACTGATACTTAGATCTGTTTGTCTGGTGATTGGAACCAGTCTAGTGTTTCAAGGTTCTGTGATTAATGCAAAACAAGTGTTTCCAGTAAGCCTACTGCCGGCTATTAAATTAAATCCATCATGTCTGATGGTACTTATTTGACATCTTGCCTTACATCTGTTTTTTGCTTGAGTTTTCTTTCTGAATTCTGTTTTCCTTTTCAATTTAGCAATTATTCTTCCATATTTCAATACATTGCAGGATGGGGATCTGAAATACACACTCTATGGTGTTCTGGTTCATGCTGGTTGGAGTACCCGTTCTGGCCACTACTATTGCTTTGTTCGTACATCAAGTGGCTTGTGGTATTCTCTTGATGATAATCAGGTAAAAGAACATAATATTTGCTGAGGTATCCAATACTTATGTTCATTCAAGTGACATTCATGTTTTGATCAGCTTCAAATGGTTTAGAATCTTCTCCAGCTTGTGAATATTCCGATTATGATACCTTTTCTATTCCACGCAATGACTTCCTCATCGAGTTTCCTTTGCATTAGCAGGTTGTCCAAGTTAATGAAAGGAAAGTTTTGCAGCAGAAGGCATATATGTTATTTTATGTTAGGGATAGGAGAAATTTTGCTTCAAAGAAACCTGATGTTATCCAGAAAGAAAATGTGGTCATGAATGCCTTGGGAAAAGTAGCAATTTCGAAAAGTGTGGCACATAGAGATTTACTTAACACCAATACACCGAAGAAGGCTCCAATGAAGGAGAGCTCTTTTCTGAAAGTAGATGGCTCGATGGCTATTGAGTGCTCATCTCTTAATAGGGATCCTTTGTCAGAATCTTTATTGGCAGTTCCATCATCAAAGGATTCAGTAAAGGGCCTTTTTGCTGTGAATAAAACTGCTGGAAACCATCTAGCACATGCAGTTTCTTCAGCTGTCTACAATATGGGCAGCTGTCACCAGAAGGACTCGAATGAATCTATTATGGTACCGTCTGACTGTAATGGACCCCAGGTTTCTATTGAGAAGAAAGAATTGAGTGATTCTGCTGTCATAACTTCCTCCTGCAATCAGGACACCAGTGGCAAGGAAGATCAGAGCAACCCAGTCAACAAGCCATCAAATATCAGTGCATTTGCACTATCTGGAAATGGGTGCAATTCAAATGACACTAAATCTGAAATGGTAATTGGTTGTATTAGTTGAATATGACATGGTCGGATTCCCTTTATTCTTTAATCAACATATATTTTCCCTCTTTTCTTTAGCAACTATATGGTTGCAGACAGTTTGTTACGTCCTTACCCTCTTTATAAAATTTCAGTGTGACAGCAAGGCTATGTCCCTGGAAACACCTAAGGAAGCATCAAACAAAATTAGCTGTGTGAAGTCATCGAAGCAAATCAGCATTAAGGAGAGTCAGGTAGAATCGTTTTCTTGCATTGGGCTTCACAAAGCATTTTTGTGCTGAAGTCGTATTTATTTTTGTCTCCTCCAGAGTTTACTAACAATCGTAATTTTCTAGGTTGGAGGTTCTCCTGGGAAGGGTTGCGATTCAGTTGCTAAAGAAGCTCATCATAGTAGGCAGAGAACAATAAACATTGAATCTGAATCGTTGTATGGGCTACCAGTCACCACTGAATGCGTGTCGATCAGGAAAGCAAAAATGAAAAAGGTCGTACTCAAAATGAAAAGCAGGCCCTTCAAGTGTCAGATTTCCAAGATGAAACTCAGCTCTAACATCATATTTGGTGGGGCCTTATGCCTGCAAAAAACGAAGCGCAAGAAGAGAAAGCATCTCTCTGTACAGAATAAGAATGCCTGTCGAGAGCATTTGTCGGATGGGAATAACCTATCATCAAATCTTGTACCATCCTCTTCTGACCAATCATTACTTGTATCCTTTGGACATTCTAAAAGGAAAGAAGCGGATTGGGGCTCCGGTGATAAGGATAAAAAGTTGGGTGTGCAAAATTTTACTGACAAAGTTAAAATATCAAGGGGTGTTAGTAATGATGAGTTTATAGTGAGAGTTGATCAGAATGAAGCCGTGCTTTCAACTGACGAGCAACTGCAAAACGGTCTTCAATCTACCTTGGATGGGAAGCAATCTACTGCCCAAGGATCCAATTGTTCAGTAGATAACAGAACAAAATCGACACCCAGTGGAATAATGAACATGCTCACCAGAGGTTTAGAGGAGATAACTGGTTAGTAGTGACTCTTTATCTTAAGTACACTTTGATTCTCATCTGGTTATCTTGTGATTTTGAAACTGCAGGAAGCACCAATAACCAATTAATTATTTTCTTTTCATCGTTGTTTGCCTGAGTTCAGTTGCACGCTGGGACGACATAGACATTCCTCCATCACGGATGACAGAATCAAGGGGACTGGAGACAGTATGCATTGGTTACATTGGGGATGAATGGTAAGTGTGCATTGTAACAAAATCAAAATAGTACATGGTTTGTTGAAATATAATTTGATGAGAGAGAATAATATAAAGAACTCCCCCTAATGCGTGTACTCTCTTTACCCAATGGAAGTAATAGTTTCCCTACTTGCTCTCAATAAACTTGATAAGTGAGTGAAGAGTTTTTTTTATTTTTTTTTTAAATTGCTCTTTGTTATTTATCTTTATGAATGTGGAATAATATAAACTTGAAATGAGATACAAAATGCTTATTTTATCCTGTTTTAAATTAGATGACTGCAACTTGGACTTCATCATTAATTTGAATGTGTATTCACACATTCAATCATAGTTTTTCTGTGGGTGCCAATCTTCTCATTTCCTTACTTTAGTAACATTTTGGAATTTAAGTGAAGGTTGCAATGTGGAATTTAAATTGTTCGGTGAAACATAGGCTACTACAATCCTTTCCATTATCCTTGCTTCAGATAAATTCCCAAGAAATATCTCTGTATAATTTATTCATGGCATCCATTTCTATCAACAGGGATGAAGAATATGACCGTGGGAAAAGGAAGAAGCTAAGGAGCTCCAAAATAAACTTCGACGGGCCAAATCTTTTCCAAGAAATTGCAACAAAAAATGCAAAAAGAAAGAAGGCAAAGCTCAACGGAAGTAGCTCTGGAAACCAGCCCTTTAGGATTTGATGGAATAGTCGGCAAAAGCCTTCTCTTCCTGGTGAGAGCCTGATTTATCGGTTGCATATATTTTTTCAGTAATTATTGATTTGGGGAGCTTAGGGAGGAAGTCATTATAAAGGCTTGAGGAAATATCGGTTTCCATTTTTCCCCTTTGCCCCTCAAATGGTTCTTTGTCTTCTTTTTCTCCCTCTTCCTAATTCTCTTGCGAAAGAAACTGGAAGAGTGGCAGATTAAGTGGTTCTCCATTTTGTCTTGAAAGTATAATATGTCTGTATGAAAGCTTAAGCAAATACATTTTTTGGGATGGATTTTCAGAATCAATTCCATTTTATTTGAATGTTGTCTGGGTTGATTTGCTATTGTAAGATGATAACAGGATTATAATTCAATTGAAAAGTATGAAGTTGCAGTATTTCGTTGTTATTATGGTAGTTGCAAAACAATTAGATATTGCCTGCGAAAGGAGAATTATAAACGGCAATAATGCTACCAACTGAATGTATTACGTGGATCTGAAGCTTTAGTTACTGTTCTTGAGTAAGAGATTCAGCGAATTTTTGGTTGACATTCTAAAGTGAAATTTTGAGCGCATAGTGGATTAACTTCAGGCGATTGTATATATGCATAGAATTATGTTAAGTGTACATTACATGCGTTATATCTTGTTTTACATTGTGCTAAAATTTAAAAAGTGTTGGCAAGAAAGTGTGAACTGTCCACTTATTTACGGATACGTGGCACAATGTTAAAAACAATGTAAAATGAGATATATGTGTAACATGATTGATATGCATATTCTTTTGATTAGGGTGTGTTTGTCTCTCATTATTGGGAGAAAAATAGAGTAATGAATAATATTTTTTAGAGAATGTGTGGTTGAAAAGTAAAGTAACTTTATTGGTTTGTGTGTAGAATATTTTATTGGGTGAATGTGTGGTGGAGAATCTTACTGTAGCAAACAATTTTTTGGAATAATGGTAGACAAACAGGGGCTAACAATTTGATTGTTGAAGAATGGGAGAAAAATATAGTAATGAATAGTATTTTTTGGAGAATGTGTGGTTGAAATTTAAAGTAACTTTATTGGTTTGTGTGTAGAATATTTTATTGGGTGAATGTGTGGTGGAGAATCTTATTGTAACAAACAATTTTTTGGAATAATGGTAGACAAACAGGGGCTAACAATTTGATTGTTGAAGATGTGACATGCGTCGATAATTAACGCTGGCACCTCCTCAGACTTGTCTTCAAGATTGACGTGGATTTGTTTGTTTCTGTATGCAGGATTTAACAAAATCCACGCCGTTTTTCTCGTAAATGGACTAAACTAACATAAAATGCAACATGAATTTTTAATTTTCCGATATTGATACATGAAATAAGTCGGGGGCCTCTTACTCTAAAACACGCTAATCATAGTAATGTAGAGGAAACTCCATCACTTCCAAAATATTTCACAAAAAATAATGACAACTAAGATCATTTATCTAAAACAACCTCACTTTTGATTCGTTGTTAAGGTTTAAATTTTTAGTATAATTTGACCTCAAATGTTAAATTTCTTCAATTGCATATCAATCAATCATTTTTTTCCGTTAAACTTTACAATGGACTTGCATAATGGCATTTGAACTTAAATTCCATATACTTGGGTGGTGGTTTAAGAATTCATAGTCATATGGCTTACCAGGATTTATTAGCATTTCCTTCAATCTAAATTGAGAATGGACTCTTTGAGTTGGCTCACCCTCACTATTTTGACTCTTTTTAGTTGCATCACGTGTTACCGAGAACATAAAGAACATATTGACTTGACATCATCTTCACCTTCAACTGGCTAGTCGATATCCTTGAGTTGGTTCTGAACTCAACAATCACAACGTAACAAGAAGAGGGTTGTTCTGATACCATGTTTATATATTTTAAACTCAAAAAATTTAGAGACAATCAAACCATTTGTCACAATCTACTTGTCCAAAAAGGAACAACAGCCCCACGGATTGATGATCTTGCTTTGGACAGAAGAACCCTTAAAAGCTGTCACAAAAGCAACCATTGTTGCCTTCTAAAGCTGGTGCTGATTGGTCAATTTAACCTTCAGTTGTCCCGTGGATTTTGCGGGAACTAAGCCGGCCCACCTTCAAAGTTGGCCTGAGCTCGGCGCGACCTATCTTGAGAAGGCCTAGGGTCTGAGGCAGGCTATCGAGAAATATTGCAACACAGAATAACCTGAGACCCTTAAGCGCTGCGTTTTCGGCCTCGTAGTTGGCTAAACTCATTTTCATACATATATCTACATTTCTAGGTGGGCATGTTACATAAAAATCTTCCATACATATACAAATAAGCAATAGCCATGCTGCTAGATACAGAATTTGGATCACAGAACAGCATAGCCTGCCCCTAGAACGACGAGTTATTCTGAAGAGAAATTCAACTCATCGACCAGTCCACAAAGCTCAAGTTCCATCTCTGAGTTGGCTTTCTCCTTGATGCCATCTTCCTCCTTTTCAGCAGCATCACAGTCATGGAATCTAAAGCAACTAATTAAATGGTCATTTGTTATACCGGCAACCTGCATAAATGAGTACACAACTGTAGGGCCCACGCTCCTGAAACCTCGTCTGACTAGGTCTTTGCTTATCATATCAGCTTTGGAGGTCCTAACTGGAACCTGACGAGGATATCGGAATCTGCCGACTATAGGCTTACATTTCACGAAGCCCCAAATGTACTTATCGAACGATCCAAATTCATCGATCACCTAATATTATAAAAATCTGCAAAAAGTCAGTCGTACTTGCAACAATTACTATAGTGAGATGATGAGATCAGTGGCTAATGAAGAACAACTTACCTAACTAGCAAGCTGGCGACACTTCTAAACATATAAGTTGGCTAAATGAATAGTAAAATATTAAAGCCAGCTGCATATAATGAAATGTCAAACAAATTGGAGATGGTCAGGACCATCAATAATTTACTTCCCACCTAATCTACCTGATCAATTAACTCCCCCCCTTGTCTTCAGCAGATATGGTGGAAGTCAAAAGTGGTCCATAAGAGGGAGAAAAAAAAATGGTAGTTTGGTATATCCTGAATCATTAGTACGTATGAAAGTCGTACCAATGTCTATCTGTCAACAGATCACTCGGTGCTTGGATTTCATGATAATATATTCACCGTTGGGAACGGACTCTTTCAACAATTCAGTAGAGTCAGAAGTAAAGTGTAGGACTCCAGTTTGGTCATTTTCAGTTAGAAATACTTAAAGCCTTAGGCAGGAGTCGAGACCTAGTTATGATAGCTTGATGTTACAGACGGACATTAATACATGCAGATAATATCATAAAGAGATATACACACGTCTCAATCCAAAAGACGTGAATTACCCATCTTTTAAGGTTAACAATATGAACTCTTGAGAATCTACCTTGGATACTTGGCGTGCATTGTCGATAATGGCACGCAGTTTAGGCTCTGATAGAAGAGAGTGTCCAGGGCTTCCAGGTGCTATTATCTTCTTCTCATTCATTTTTGCAACGGCAATTGGATCAAAATCAGCAAATACTTCCCTGTGCCAAAAAATTCACGAGGAAACCAGAGAAGAGGTCATTGAAGCAAAGCAGCAACAATATTAGCCAGACACCCTTAGAAACAATACCCGGTTTGAAATTTTACGATATCACAACTAAATTTCTGCCCCTTTGCCAAGAAATTTCATTGACGGTGAAATTAGATAATACAAAAAGATGTTATCGATGTGATACCTAAATATGTTCCTTTTGCTGAGAATGGCAGGCCATGTGAGTTCAGCCAAAGCCCCACAAAGAACAAGAAACTCGAACAATTTACTGCAAAATGCCAAAAATATAAAGTAAAACTAGGAAAAGTTCCCAAAGAGTAACATAAGTTGCCCTATTTTGTGGAAGGATGTTGCATGAAATGATCTACTCACTTGTCATCGTGTGCTGGAACTCCCCATTCTTCGTCATGAAAAGTTACATAAGATGGATCTGATTTAGAAATGAAAAAGCTCGTAAGACTTGCAGAAATTGGGTTATGGAACCTTAGTAGTCAACTTTGCCTCTCAAAATGTGGCCTCAAGAGTCAAGTGGGTGGAAATTAGAGAGGAAGGTACTCAAATAATTTTATGTTAAAACTTCTGTTATATTGATGGAAATAATGGAACACCTCATGATCACACCAACAATTTGAAATGATAATCACCTATTAATATGATTGTTTGTATTTTAAATCCAAGTGCTAGCAGCTTATCTCCGGTTTTTTACCATGAAAACGCATACTACACAACAAAGTCAATAAACTCAAACAGAAAACACGAAATTCCACTCCAGAATTCAGAATTCGAATTAGGGTAACAGAGAGGCAGAAAGTAAATGCCATGTAAAAGCATACTACGTTCTGCTAATTTTTAGAACCTCAAAGTTTAGAACAAACAAATAGTTTTAAAGTATCGTGCCTAAAATATCTGCAAATCTTGGAAGTAATAGGTCTCCTGCAGAATATATTCAAAAGATAATCTAACAAGAAAACTTAGTTTAGAATGTGAATTGTGAGTAAATCTTATGAAATCTNGCAGAATATATTCAAAAGATAATCTAACAAGAAAACTTAGTTTAGAATGTGAATTGTGAGTAAATCTTATGAAATCTACTATGTTTTCTTTCATTTTCCTATAAACAGCATTCAAAAGTCACATAACATAGGTAATGTTAGCAAAACAGAACACTAATATGGCTAGAATCATATACAAAATCCTAAACCAAATACATGGTAACCCATCAAATTACAACAAAACAGACATAAAATTGATTTTAAATATGCCAAGAAAGACCATCATACCAGTCCAGAATTGTACAAAATGAAACTCACCAGAATGAGCTGTGACCCAAGCACAACTCCTTTTAGCCTCTAAGCCATCAGGTAAGGATTCTGGGACGCCATTTGGAACAACAATTTTTGCCTTTGAACCCAACTGCTTCCTCCAACCAGATGTGCTACTTGTTCTGTACATCCTACCAGTCGAGGCTCGACTACGAAATGAATCAGCAGAGGCATCAGACGAACACGAAGCACTGAGTGACAAATTCGAATGCACCACCAACTCATGTCGTCGGAGTACTGAAGGAACGCTAACAGAATGTGTTGGATTAGATAATTTTGTGACAACAATCGGTCTATTCTTATCTAATTGGACCCCTTCGTCCTTTACTGACTCCTCCACCGTTCTCAAAGTCTTTGACACGAGTCTTTTCCCATTTTTTAACCTCAATGCCTTGCATTCAGCATGCTTAGGCTGAGAATCAGCAACATTTGCTGATCTTTCCCTTGGAGCCCCCGACATCAGATGAAATAAAACTACCCTTATATGCTCCTTCAAGAATCTCCCTGTTAGCCCCAAAAATTCTGCAAATTTTCTATCTTTTTACCAGTTCAACGGAGGATTTTTTATGCCCAAAATAACCCAATTATGAAGAAAATTCTCCAAGAATATCAGCTTGTCCTTGTAAAAAACCCAAACTGAGGTACATCAATTTCACCAAGTTGAATTTTGTTCAAACCCTTGATCTCTGTGTATAATGAATCCACTCCATCAAAGCCAATAACAGAAGAGCTATAATAAGACAAAGATTTTTAACCAAATTTCAGGCTTTGACCCCCTGAGAATCCTGCCAAAACAAAATTTTCCACAACCAACTGAAATTGAAAAATATCTTCAACACTTGCCATTAAAGCCAGACAATTTTTTCCCTTAAAATTCAAAACTTTTTTGCAAACTACTCAAGAAAAACTACATATCCATAATCAAATACACAAAACTATTACCTTTGGGCTTAACCAAGGTCTGACATTCACACATTTTCACGTTTAGATACACATGCACATATGTAAAGACAGCTGTAATGAGGGGGTTTTATGATTTTAAAGGGGGTCAAGAGTTATAAAACAATATTATTTATGAGCCTTGGAAGAGAGAGATTCCTTCGAGCATTTTTGTAGGGGTCTAGGGAATGAACTGAAGCTTTGTCTTTTCAGAATATACACTAAAAATAAAGCTGACATTTTTGTGATGATTATGATGAGGTAGTAACAGATATAAAAAAGATATATATAAAATTAAGCCCATGTTTGACACCATTTACCTTACATTAAATTTTTCTCTCTTTTCATTACAAACACATATTCATCAAATAAAATAATGTTACACATAAATCTAAAATTTTTCATTACTTTTCTACCACACATTCTTCCATCAATTACTATTCCAAAAATTTTTAACCATCAAAAATGCAAAATAATGGGGGCCAAACAGGGGCTAAGATTTTAACAAAATTAAAATCATATGATGAATTAAAATTAAGAAAATTAAAATCGAAAAATTTGTTTTCGAATTATCCAGAAAAACAAAATTCTCTGAAAACGAATACTCTGAAAAATTATTTTTTCAATATCGATCCCAATTTTCCATGAAATCTACTTCTTTTTTATTGCATCAACACGTGATAGAATTATTAACTAAAATCATAATACCACAGATATCGAACCATTCAAATCGAGACACCTCAATAACGCAGATGATAAGTGAGAGAAATCGTTAAAGAGGTTAACCGTAATTTCTCCCTATAATTTTTCATATAAACAAAAGCAACTTATACATTGTTGTCTCTATAAAATCGTTTGTTTGAAATGAAAATTTGTCAGACTATTGTCATGCCCCCATTTAATTTTTCTATCTTGTCTGAAGAATGTGTTACAAACCGTCCATGGATCAATGATGTCCCAAAATGCACCTAGTAACGGATATACCAAGATAATGCTCTGAGTCACTTGAATAAATAGAAAAGTGAAAATAATGAAATAAAGAAATATATAAAATGAGGATAAAAATGAAATAGGAAAAAATGAAAGCTAATTTTGATCTCATTATTTCTACTTGTTGAGTCATAAAATGGCAAATAATTATTTAATCTCCAACTTTCAAAAACTCAAAAGCCGCAAGAATTAGTATTCTATATGTACAATTACTTTATTCCTCCTCTCTTTCTGTCGTCGTTTAATGATTCAAAGTTTAAGGTATCGCGATTTAAGTGGACATTTCTGTCACACGTGCGCATAGAACCATCCAATCGAAGCTTTTCTCTTAATCTCGAGAAGTGAGGTATTTTGTCCTTTACTTGTTAAAGCTATAAATTTGGGTCTCGATGTGATCGAATCTGTCAAACTTTAAAATCACACACAATTTTTATACGATAATATTATTTATTAATTATGTATTATATTATTCATACCCTTTATTTATTAAGGTAAAAAGGAAACAGAGCTTTTTTGTTCGGGCAGAACCAAGAAGTGCATAAAAGAATATTACTAGTCGCAGAATTGCAAAAATACAAAACTAGCCAACTCTGTAGCCTGCTTAGTATACCTATGCCTAAGATAAAGACACATTTTGGCATTATGCATTTGAGTAGGGGTGATGCACCGCTTGTCGGCTCAGTTCATCAAGCATCAAATAACTTGGGCAAGTAGTTTGTAGGTTCGTATTTTAACTAAAAAGTGCAATTTTGGAGTAATAAAAGGCGAGCAACAAGTAGCCCACGAGCCAATGAGCCAATCCCACCCAGGAATGAGCTCGTCGGGCGAGTCAAGCCCAACTTTCTTGAGACGTTTCGAGTATGAGCCAACACCTGCGCTCACCCCAATTAATGTTCTTATAGTTGAGTCTAAACATCTTTGTATCACCAATCAATTTTGTCAAGATGAAATTTGAGTTCAAAGTTCTTTGTATACGTATAAGTAACGAGGATGTCGTCTTGTTCTGATTTACATTTTACACGTAAATTGTTCTTCACGATATTAATTGATTAGGCACGTCATGGTCCCGAATATATTCAATTGTAACAAATACCCTAAAGCTAAGCATCAAGTGTCAATGGAATTTGTCAAAAACAATAAATTATTAACCGGAAAACAAAGCTTTTCAACAGAGAATCCCAATTAATCAGGTAATTCCACAAATTAACAATTAATCAAGTGGGACCCTATTTTATTAAATAGGATCTACTACTGGATTTAGCATCAACCTAAAAATAAAATAATGCCATTAGGCATTAATATTTAAGCCTCGCTTAAATGTAATTATCACCCACCAAACCTTTCGGATAAATACAAATTAAATAGTAAGAAATGATCTTTGAAAATATTAATGATGGTTTATAGATAACGATAACAATAATTATGACAATGAAATTCACAATGTAAAGGTGATTGATTTGCCAAATGAAATGAATCTTGGACTTATTACCTTTAAGGAGAATTAGTTCACTGATTTTATATAAATGTTATTTATAAGTAATGTGCTCCTTTTTTTTTTTTTCTCAAAATAACATTTTTTCATCGCACCCCGAAAAATGTTATTATGTTAAAACACGATGCGTGTTACACTTTTTCTTTTTCGAGTGAGTGATTTTAATGCAATTTGTTTATACATTCGGCACATCATATTAAACTTGTATAAAAATCTAGCATAAACTTAAGGTTGAACCCCTGCAGCGCCCCGCCCCGCCGCATTATGGGGAAAGTAAATCGCAGAATGTGTCTCAGTAGATCAGAGTACAAGAACTATCATATTGGTACTCACAAAGAGTCCAACTTCATACCTTATAAGAGGCGGGAATCGAACTCTCACACTGCATACACTTAAATTGATAATAGGAGGTAAATAGTATTGGGTAGATTATAATGTATATAATATATTGATTTTTCATTCAAAAAAAACATCATTTGCACCGTCAACCGAATAACATAAGGTGGAGGTGAAGATTTTCATGTCTTGTCATCTATCTTATTACATTGGACGTTGAATAATTACATTCGGGCTAAAATGACCTTTTTACCATTTTAATTATTTTCTCAGTTAAAACTCATTTTTCTTGAAACTGTTTATTCGTCATACAATCACAAAATAATGATTCAGTCATCCTAGAACCAGATTTAAACCGCTTTCCAAAAAAAAATTATGCGAACTCATTAATCCGTCGAACAGGGTGACGAATTTCCAAACGTGAATATGTAATTACTACTTCGATTCCTGTCAACTCCTAACGTATCTTAACGTACTGAGGTATTTCATCGTGTAATTTGATCTCAATCATACATATCGAAGAGCGTCGCTTTCACAATAGCCACTACATTATGAATTTAGGTTACTCACAAGACAATCGATCGTGTATTAATTTATGTGTGTGTTGTCATTTTATAATAATTAATCTACACATGACCATATCCAATACACTCCAAAGTATATATATACTCAAATACTAATGTAGATGCTTTTGATTGACGGAACTTTTGCCAAGATCAAGGCAAATTATGTACCCCAAGTAGAATCTTTTACCCTACATCCCCATTAGAATAAAATGTTACAAACTAGGACACATCAATTCTCGATAAAAATATAAATAATATATATTCGTGTTTTTCAGTCGCATGCTCCTACAGTCATACTTGTAAATTATTGTACGTAGTCAAAATCTTTACACTTCCATTTTTTCAAAATTTACCTAACTTTACCAAATCGATCTCCATATCCTATCGAAATGGACTCAAGCCAATCAAATAAGAGATAGGATACTTAATACACGAGTTCAAATAATTTAAACAATGAATAGATAAGTAAAATTCAAAATAGATAAGAAATAATTCCATCATCATTTGCCTTTGCTCTACAAATTTATTCCTCCTCCTCAAGTAAGCCTGACAGAATGTATTAATTTGCTAAGTATTCTTACATTAATAAATAATGTGTAAGCAAATATAGCACATAGATGATGTAAAATGGAGATCAGAACAGAAATATATATACCTGAGTCATCAATGAAATTGGAAATATCCACATATTGGCCCTCTCCTATCTGTATTTGCTTAAGCTCTGGTGCATTTAGATGTCCGGAACAAAATTTTGTCATCACGGGGCAATACAGAATGACCAATTTATGGAGTGAAGGGAACACGAGTTCGTAGTTTTGAGAGCAAAACATTCTGAATCCATCGAGAGATAAAAGTTCTAAACTGCTCAACTTAGGAAACACGATTCTTCTTGTCATTCCTTCTTCGACCATATCAATATCTGAGGTGCCTTCTTTCTCTCTTCCAACAATCTCTTCCATTTCTTGACATTCGTAGACCTCTAGAGTTTCTAGAGCCACAAGCAAGTTCGCCATTGAAGGTGAGAATAAGTACCTTAAACTGCTACAATCTACAACGACAAGTGATGTCAAATTCTGCATGACATGAATTCCTTCGGGAACCATCCTTGTAATGTTTACTAATTTAGGTAGTCTTTCAATCTTCAATGTTATTAATCGACCAAGTAAACTTTCTACATGACCTTCACTAGCTGTTACACCCTCAAAGTCAAATAATACAGACACATCACCTAATCCGTCGATATCTAACACCTCCAGATTAGCCAATCTAACCTGCAGGAAAAAGATTTAACGGGTGGGTGTTAGGCAAAAATGTGTCATCATAAAACTTCATTGAGTTTCCAATATCTGCAATATTTCCTAATGTTGATTATTACCTAATTCAATCTCCAAAGTTCAGCTACACCACTCATTTCATAGAAACTTGACATTCATTAGACCATATGACGAATCTGTTGGACAAAATTAATTTTTTAAGTTATATGGTAAGTAATTGGAACATTACTAATATTTTGTATTCTTTTAGTTCTTAGTTAAGACCGCGATTCTATAAAATCTTTTCTACACCGAGGATACTATAATTTTTTTGCAAGTAAGCTATACAAATAATCACTGATCATCAGCAAAGTACGATGTCTCATAAATAAATAACGAAATTATTTAAGGCCAAAGAATCAAGAAAATGGATTAGTTGATTCCGGATCTGTAATTTCACTTATTACTTCAGAATTCCATTCAAAAGGACTAAGCATCCTCCATAAAAAAAAGAAAAAAAGTGGCATCATGCAAGCACACATAAAGAGAGGTCCGTACCTGGTTGAATAATGTTCCCAGAACGTGCATGGAGTCTAATTTAGATCTGAAGCTCTTAAAACTACTCAAGTGCTCTAGGTTGACGTCTTTGAGTTTTGGGAGCTCAAGTTTCTCAAGCTCCCAAGTTTCACCTTCACTTCCAACAATCGCTTCCATCGCATCGCATGATTGAACCCTTATAGTTTCAAGAGCCACAAGCGAACTCACCATAGAACGTGAGAATAAGTACCTTAAGCCACCACATTCTTTAACTACAAGCGATTTCAAATTTTGGAAGACGCAAATTCCTTTAGGAACCATCCTTGTAATGTGCATTAATTTAGGTAGAGTAGACATCTCTAATGAATTTAATCGACCAAGTATACAAATTTCTGCATCATATTTGTTAACCTTTAAACCCTCAAGATCAAACAATACTTCTACCTTTGCACAATCAGATACTACAATACCTTCAAGATTTTGCAGTAGTTTAATTGAATCAGATTGTGCAATGGTCCATAAATTACCACAGCTACCCACAGTGATGACTCTTATATTAGAAAGAGATGTGATTGGCATTTCCTCTTCACCCAGTAGCTTTACTATACAATCCAACTGAAAAATATCCAACATCTCCATGTTAGGCAACGTAACCTGCGAAATTCAATTAATTGTATCAACCAAAATTCTCATCATAAAACATAACATCAGAAGAAGTATAATGTACGTCTTAAATGTTAATTAATGAGATAATTAAACCAATAATCATGAAAAGCATTAGTTGACAATAACACTAATCTAGTTCTAAAAGAACTATTAAGTGTAATTTTCTTATAAAGAATCCTCATGTTGGTTGGAAATCATAATATTTTTCCTTTCTAATTTCGTCCGGGACAGGAGAAGTGAGGTTGTGCAAGGAAATGTCACCATTTGTCGACTTAAGAAATGAGGTTCACAGGTTCTGTACAGAAAAGAAATAATTTTAATCAATATTATAAGTAGAGAAAAAATAGTAATTAAAATCTCTAATGATTGATTTTTGTTTCTCCTAAAATTAGTTTTTTTTTCTTTTCTTTGTCAGAGAGTTCACTGTGATTAACAATTTATGTAATCATACTGGTTCATACAAAATTTCTTGATCTACTGTTTTGGTTCATTTTTGAAGGATTGGACAACGTTTTCGAGTATTATCAATTTTCCTAATTTGTCTAATGCTTCTAAATTCATAGAAAAGGACTAAACATCAAATATGGCCTCGCGTAAAAGGAAAGATATATACCTGGTTGAACAATGATTGACAATCATCAACTTTATTCGACTCAGATGTGAAGCTTTTAAATATGCTCAAAGATTGAAGAGTGACTTTTTTTAGTTTAGGGAACCCCAGCATCTCAGTAACTAAATTTTCTTGCACGTCCATTGAAACAACTTCCTCTAACATCGGACATATGGATATATCTAGTCTTTGGAGATTCATCATACATTTTGCAACTGACTCCCGAAACAAGCTTCTAATTGCATCACAATTATAAATCTCAAGAATTGTGAGGTTATGAAACGACTGACTTCCAAAATGTTCCGTTCTTGGAAGATTTCCATTGCATATCTGTATGAGATTATGCAAACCTTCCAATTTCAGAAGCTCCAGATTACAGAAGGTTCCACTTGGAATGGAGTATGTGGCGTCAATAATATACTCAAAATCACCACTTGATAGCCTCAGCTTCTTCAAGTTAAAGAAACCATCTTTATCTGACCCACTCACAAGCTTCTTCCAAGCTATTGCTTTTACAATATAAAGTTGGTAAGCTGTCCTCATTAACGAGTTACATCCACATTGCAAAAGAGTACCTGCTTCAATACCATCTAGGAGGTCCAGCCTCCTTGTGACATGATAATCTCCAGTACCGAGTCCCTTTTTTTCAGCTATAGTGATTTCATATCTTTTCAGGTTCTCAACGCACAGCACTTGTAATATTTGCATCAAAAACTGAGTATCATCTGTGGAAATTTGGAAAGTGTTGAGAGCAGTCAGTGAACTTATCTCTTCAATAATGTACCCCTTTTCTTCATCTCTTGTTTCAAAGTATTCTCCAAAGTACAACTCTTCCAGTTTCTTCATACCCAATAAAACACCAGGTGGAAGTGGGCGGGGGCCTGTCCAAAATCTCAAATCCAGTAGCTTTAGGTTGCTAAGTTGTGCTATTTTAGTGGGAAAATCAACATAGAGATAAGAATGATAAAAAGTGAGAATTTCCAACTTCTTTAGACTCCCAATCATTGAGATATCAAACATTAAATCACAGTAGTCCAAGGACAGTGTTTGAAGACTCGTCAACAATTGGATTGACGACGGAATTTGAATGTTCATCCAATTAAATTCAAGAACCCTGAGTTCCAGCATATCTTTAAAAAATTCTTCAGATATATTTTGTTCCCCCGAATCGCATCGCACCCGTAACAACTTGAGGTGCCCATATTTTAACCCACTGGGAAGCTCATCCAGCACACCAAAAGTCATTGAGATGGCAATGTATGATTCCTCGTTATCTCTTGGCCACTCTCCCAAATCAGCATGTTTCACCAGATATCCAGGTTTGTCTAGTAAGCAAAAACCTCTAACAACATCATGTAATTTCACCTCCTCCTCCTCACCTGATAACAATAAATAGCAACGTTTCAAATCATCAACAATCGAATATACCCGATCTCTGGTTTCTGATAATGTGTCTGTATTTTGAAACAGCTCTAGTCCCCTTGCATATCTAACCAATCTTTCAATTGTAATACTTTGTTTTTCAGCAAATAAAGAGCATAGCAAAAGCAAGGACCTGGCTTCGTCAGTTTCCAAATAGTTGTAGCTTAACTCTATTCTTGAGTAGACCAAATCGTGCATTCCTCTGAGATTTGTTACCCTAGACCTTTGTAACTGTTGAAGCGCATCTCTCCATTTATGTGGCATTTTATTTTTTAGTGCTTTACCAACAGTCACGAGTGCCAGAGGTAAGCCTCCACATTCATTTGCAACTTCGTGAGCTGTGCTGTTCACAACATTAATTGTATAATTAGAAATGTCAGCAGAATGCTCAAAAAGTTTATGTGCTTCTTCTTGAGACAAAACTTCAACTTCAAATTTCCTCTGCACTCCCATGTCAATGCATACATCTTCATTTCGTGTTGTAAACAGAACTTTCAATCCCTTGCAATCATCCTTTGAAGGAATTCCTATAGTTCCCAAATCAATTTCTTTCCAGACGTCGTCTAATATCAAAAGAATTCTCTTATTATCATACGTAAGTCTTGCATAAAGTCGTTGAGCTCTCCCACTTTCAGTCTTCTCTTCAATTTTCAAATGGAGCTTTTCAGCAAGTTGATCCTGAATTTTTATTATGTCTGGATCATGAGATACAATTGCCATCGCAACCTCATCAAATAATTTCTCATCTTTGACTTGGGTGGCTACTTCATTCGCCATTGTCGTCTTACCTACTCCAGGCATGCCACAAATCCCGATTATATTGATATCTTTGTCCTTCAGAGCTTCCAAGATTTCCTTCTTGGTTGTTATCCTTGTCTCAAAACCGTAGAAGTCCTGATGGGAGGATTGGTTTGGCATCAGCACCGGTGGTGTAGGATAGCCCACTCTCTCAAATGTACCTTCTACTTGGAGCTTAACAGTCACAACAGTCTTCTTCGTGGCTTTCCTGCCTAGTAGATAACGGGTCTTTAAATTTGGACATCTAAGGAATAGACACTGCATTTCAGAAATTGCTGCACCTTTCAGAACTCCATCCATCTGTTTGTTTAGGTCATCAACCTTTTGCAACCATGCTGAAACAAGTGGTCTAATAACTTCTGCATTTCTTTTGGCTGCATCAACCATTGCTTGAACCTCAATTTTCTTATTTTCAAGAATTTCCAATTCATCAGTCAATTTTTTAATGTTACTTTTGTAGCACAATAAATACTTGAATTGGCGCAAGATTGGGTCCACTACGTATTCTGTGAGCTGCCCAAAAACCGAGAAAGCTTGCTCCGCCATTATCAATATGCAGCTCACCCAGCAGATATAATTAACAGCGAAATCAAAGAAGCCTATCAGCATCAAAATAAAAATGGGCACGATTGTTGAATAATTAAATATAATGCCTTTGGCCAGACACACAGAGACAGAAGAAAATGTAGAAGATATCTGTTTACAGAAATTTAACACTTTTCTTCATGTTTCATCCAGAACATGGAAGCTTCCTGTTTCATATTATATGTTGACTTGCACACAACCAAAATTCTTTAGAAAACAATAACCAATCAGGAAAAAAAGAACAGATGTTCCAACTGAATAGTCATTTGTCTTTACTAGAGTTTGCTTATAACATTCAACTATTGAAGTACTATAAGGTAGAAAATGTAGAACATCAATTTGTTGAGATAAAATTGTGAAAGAAAGTTATTAGGCCCTGAATTTGTTAATGCGGAGAAACAGGCTTCATGTTTGGGAGTTGTTTGTAATCGGTTTAAATTATAAATAGATAGAAATGAGTTGTCCATAAGTGACATTGAGAACCCGCCATTCTCAATGGAAATCAAGGAGAAAGAAGTACCCTCAGGCTTTGTGATGCCAAAAGTAGGCAAATTTTTGGGACATGGCAATCCAGTGGATCACATAAATATCTATAAGACGAAGTTGCAAAGAAAGTGTTATGGAACAAATAAGATACCAAAAGTGCTCTGATACCAATTGTTATGAATTTGGATCGAGTGATAATGACGATAATGAAATAAACAAGAAGAAATAAACACCAAAATTTACGTGGAAACCCAATACGGGAAAAAGCCACGGGCAGAGGAGGAGAAATCCACTATAATCAATAGCAATTGTGTTTACAAGATCTCAATACAGTCAATTGAAATCTAAAGCGCTCGAGATGTTGTATGAATCTCCCTCAGTTGTGTTCTGTTGTTATTCTGTACAAGTCGTGCTATATATATACACATAAATCCTAGAGAACAAGTTGTACAAGAATAGGAATTCAAAATCGGGTAAAAAAAAAATGGCCTAGGCCGAACAAGGCAGCGGCAGGCCAGCGACCAAGTCTCGGGATGTTTTCTACTGGGCTTACTTGAACCTCCAGTTAGCGCCAAGTTAGAGAAAATGCGACGACTTTAATTTTGATCTCTTCAAGATCACTTCAATTTAGACTCTACTACCCACTAAAATTTGGATCAAACCACGACTGAAATAGCCCCGTCGTTAAATGCAGGTAACATAAGGGCAGGGGGGAACGTTGTTAGGTGTTTTTTAGGTCAACAATTATAATTTAATCACTTCTCCTCAAATGTATCTTTTATCCACACATTTCTTAGAAATCACAAGTCTTATCCACTTATTGTCCATATATTCAGTAAGATCCATAGATTATAACTGTTTACCAAAAACATGTACCGTCATAGTATCATTCTACTATCACATTTCAAAGATCTTTAGTAAACAAACTTGCCAATCAAGAAAGAGAAATAAACAAATACTCCCCGCAAAAGAAAATTTTGTTCATGATCATGTATTGACTGTAAATTTCGTAAAAGGCCAAGAAAAAAGACAACTGAAGTAATGGGGACATACCTCTACTTGTTCCTCGTGCTGATTCAGATGCAGATTTGTAGAATACTTAGAAATAGACAGAAATCCAGTTGATGTATAGGCTTGAATCTGATGAAATTGCATTGGTTAGCGAATTGCTTTGACCTTTTATGGAGTTAGTCTAAAAAGACAACTTAGGAGATAGAAATTCTGTGTGGCAGTGGATACAAAAGAGAGACACGAGTGGACTTTATTTGACTTTTCTTCTTCAACATTTATCAATGAGCAATCATATCTAGATTCACCGGGTGTTAATACCTTGGTCTAGATAATGCTAACGTGACATTAAATGAGTCGTATAATCAAATGAATCATTTAAGGATATCATGCTTAACGCCGCCTATAATGGTTATGCACAATCAATAGTTCTAGATAACGTTATTCTTTATTAATCGTACTTGGCTCCCAAACAATTCTCTCTCCTACACGCGGTGAGATTGTGTAGAATACATCACACAATTAATGTTAAAATCTTGTTTTATTAAGCCCATGTTCAAACCCCATTTAATTTGTGAGAGAGATGCATTTTGAAATAGTGATTTTGTGGAGAATGTGTGATTAAAGAATATGAAAAAAATTTGAATTTACATGTAAAATTATTTTATGAAAGAATGTATGATTGAAAATAAGTTATGAAATTAATGAGGCTCGAACTGGGGCTAATTTAATTGCATACCTATCTAAACATGCTACATTTATTGACAAAATAATAGCACTTCTCCACATGAACGTCATGCTTCATGAATCAACAAATAATTTCATTAGTTGGATTGTTACGAGAGTCCCGACGGAATCAGCCCATAAATACAATGATATTCATGTATATAATAAAATTGTACGGAATTTAAGCTTGCCAAATTTGAAGTACCACTATCAAGATAATTACTTCATGCCATAAATATAACTATTAGAGTTATGACACAGTTCTCATGGACTTTAACAATGAAATCTGCAAATCATTTGTGTAATTCTCTTGAACAAATTCTCCTTGGAAAAAAGAAATATAGTCTATTTGGTGTAACTCTAAATTTAAACCCACTATTATGGTTAATGCAAGCGTCCAGAAGTAAACCTGAGCTACAATTTTCATTCCTTTTTGTCCAAAAATGAACTCATTAGCCTTGTGCTCTAATTTCAAGAACTTATATATTCTCAAAAATTTGCTGTCTAGTAAGAACATCCACCAAATCCTTGACTTGTCTGGATTTCTCGACTCTAGCACTCATATTACTTCTATCCACTTCTCATTTGCAGGACATGTCAAGCATCATGAAAATTTATGCTCTTTGTCATCCTCTGGAGATCTCGTGATGATAATTAAGTACACTTTTAGAGGAAATAGATAGCGTCCACTTGAATCAAAAGCTAGAGGCAATCCCTCTATAGCTCAACTAATTTACCGAGCGCACATATTGTCTAACTCCAACAAATGTAATCCAATTATTTTCTCCGTTGCTTGAAAAGTGTAATTCAAATTTTGTCATAGGTCCATCAAACAATTCACGGGTTAACAGATACCCTTTCAATTGTTATTTGTGTATCTCTTAAAGATACGTCGCACATTCATATGCTAAAAATCTCTAGATGGACGAACTATTTTGGAAGTTTAACATTTATAGCAATTTGAAATAGTTTTCTATAAATGTGTAATTCAGTCCAATACTTCAAACTATTATACAAATATTCAACACCATGGTAAATGTCATCGTTGCAAAAGATCACTGTTACAAGAACAACAACTGGATCAAGTTCGGCCAAATCTTCGATGCAAACATGACATCAAATAGGATGAGAGTTTGGCCACCTTGAAACATTATGTTGTATGTAGCAATCATATAAGCCTCCACTTTATCGTCATTATTGGCATATATCTATTTTGTACTAAGTCGCTTCGTTTCTGAAAAAAGTTCAGACACGCTCAAAATTATATGTGATGTGTATAGGAGTCGTTATGCCCGAGCTCGACCTTATGGGCCCGATCTTAACCCATCATTATTGGGTTGATAGCAAGGTCGGGTCTTGGATTGAGGTCGGGGTTAGTAGACAAGGTCGGGTCTTAGCCCTAATTCACCCGTCTTCTTGACCTTATCGCACGTTTCCTAGGAATGCTAATCCTATCTGAACACAAACCTCCAACTTATTACAAATTCGATTGTAACCCAAACACCTTGTATAACAAGGATAAGTACCACGGTTAGTCAATCCCCAGCACCTATAAATACATGACCTAGCCTCTCTATTCAGGTACGTTTTACATAATATTTCAGCATACATCATTTTGTGCAATTTCTCTCTCTGACTTAAGCATCGGAGGAGCGACGAAAACACACCTCAACGCCTTTGTTTCAGGTATTGAAGATCGGATCGTGTAGAGCTCAATCATCCAGTTCAAGTTCATTCAGGTACAATTTTTGGTAGCATCATTGGCGCCGTCTGTGGGAAGAAGCGCTACAAAAAGCCATGGTTAACACACGTTCAGAACATCGTCCAGCAAGCTCATCCGCTCCTAACCACCTCCCTTCTAGAGATCATCCGGTTCCCCAAAAGGTATCGTCAGGAGAACCACCACATCCACCAACAGCAGTCGCTCCGGAGCGTTTGAGGAACTCCGCCAACAAGTGGCCACACTAACTCAGCTGCTGAATTAGAGAAGTATACCCCCAGCACCATCGCTGCAGAGTGGTCTTATGGAAGATGCCAGGGCTCCCGGCCCCAACCACGGTGATGCCGGAACCTCAGGCGTACCTCATGTGCCCTTAGGTTCGAGATCAATTACGATGAACTCTGCTGATCTTGCTAGGATTATTCAGGATGGAATCACGGTCGGAATGCTTTAGAAGTCTCAGGCAACAACATGGTTCACCCCTAACACACCTTTCACCCTCGAAGTCTTATCATACCCCTTACCAGACCGGTTTAAGTATCCTCGGGTGAAGGAGTAATCAACCGACCCCATCAATCATCTCAACATATACACGGATATCATGAACTTGCAGGTCGTACCCAATGCGGTAATGTGCAAAGGATTTCCTCAGACACTTACTAATGCAGCTAGGGATTGGTTTTCCACATTAGAGCCCAACTCCATAGCTTCTTTTTCAGATTTGGCCGATAAGTTCCCTGCTTTTTTCGCAAGCAGCAAGCGTATCAAGAAGACAGCTGCATCACGCATGCAGATGCGTCAAGGACCCAATGAGACACTTCGTAACTTCATCACAAGGTTTAACAAAGAAAGACTCTAGATT